GGATTCGCACTGTTGGCCGATACGCCTTCTATGAGTTGCCTAATATCGAGGTAATATTGTTTTGTTTGTTAGTCTCTCTCTCTCTCTCTCTCTCTCTCTCTCTCTCTCTATGTTTGTTTATAAACTGTAAGTTTGTAATTGATCATAATTCATACATGTAAATAATTAAAAGCTTTAATTAGTTATTGGGTTAAAGGGGCTTAAATCTTTATTCTAATTACTTTATATTTTTAGCTTGCACTGTAATTAAGATATAATAATTAAGTATTACATTTATAATTTTTATATTTAAACTAGTTTAATTTGAGGCGTTATAAAGACTATCAAAATAATTATACGTAATCAATCTACTGTATAGTGCAATTATTATATTTTTCGTCAATATAACATAGTATGATTTTTTGCTTTTATTGAATAAAAAGTTTAGTCAAACTGTAATTTAAATATTTAAAATTATAATGTAATAAATACTCGTATTATAATCATATTTTTGGCATAAGCACGGACCAATGTTAACTTTAATGTATTTTATTATTTTTAATCATATTTATTTATTTTTATTATTTATTATTTGAATAATTATTGATACTATCATTATAATTATATAAATTATATTTTTAATTGTAGTTGAATGAAAACTGTAACTAAAATATACCATATTGTAATGTGATTACTACTTTTAACATAATAATATATTTGGGTTAAGCAGCTACCAAGAATTAAATAAGTATTTATACATTTTAGTTTTACTTATTTACTTTTCAAACTGATTTTTAGTGTATATGTCAATTAACTCCAAAATTGCCATATTCAATGCTTAACTAGACAACTATTTATTGATTAATTATAACGTACTTAAATACTGAGTAAATTTAACATAATGCAACATATAATATGTAACAATCTAGGTAATTAATCTACAAAACAACATGATCACACGCATAAACAAATACGCGTTCTCCAACCGCTACCCTAACGCCCAACGGTTAACCATACGTCTGGCGCGGAATCAACTGCACGCGCAATCGCTAGACACTGGATCGCTGGCCGGTCAATATAAAAATATTTTTAATAAATAGTTATTGAATACAATGGAGAGGATTAGTGTCCATAGGATTGGCTTTTATTGTTGGAAACTATTTATTATTAACAGCTTTCGTGGATATGAAGTAATAATCATTTGTTAATGATATTTAAACGTTATTTTTTCATTCTAAAATTTTATATCACATACTCTAGATTTTATCATTCATATCGGTATTGTTTTTGAAAATATTGACATCACAACAACAATAAATGCATGCTTAAATGTTTAACTATAATATATCTACCTGTACATAATTAGTAATTAATATATTGTAATTGATATATTGTAACTGTAATTAATATGTTCCGCACTACCATTACAAATAGCGTGTAATATCACATTTCATATTTATTTATTTGTTACAATATACACATTTTAAAATAAAAATTATTGTATTGTTTTGCAGTAAGCATTGAAAAATTCTTATTTTTAAATGCCGGTGCCGATAGAGCTTGTTAACATTGTAAATATCAACATTATAATTAATAACATCAACTTAAATAAAATTATTACTAAACTAGCTAGTTCAAAATCAAACCATTATTGAGATAAAAATATTAACTTACAAAGAAAAATTATTTTTATTTAAATTACTATTTTGTTACAAAAAATTTGATCAAAAAAAACAAATCATAATTTATTAATAATTACTAAAAGTACTAAACAATTAAAGGTAACTATGAATTCCTAAAACTAAACAGTCGTTTCAGTGCATTGCGGGCCAGCCGTAGGGGCGGAAAAGTGGACACAACGCCAGGCGTTTCGGGGTCTTTGGCCGAGTAGTCGCCCTCCGGATCGTCTTCCATGATATCTAAGGCACAAACAATACAAAAACAAAACAATAAATGTAAAAAATAGCTACAAAACACATATCTGGTCACTCTATATGCAAACTCACTTTTGGGCCGCCGGCGCACACCGTCAACAGTGCCGCCCCGTGTGTTGTCCTCGAGCTCGGCGTACGAGTGCATTATAGCCCGCTGTTTGGCCGACAGTTTTCTAATTAATTAGTTTAATTAGTTTACAAAAGTATATAAACTTTAAAAAAGTGGCTATAGAAAAATGAATGGACACGTACTTCGGTATCTCAATCTTAATATGTATGTAATGATCGCCATAGCCGTAGCCATCGACCCGTTTCAGGCCTTTACCATCGCGTTTCAGCACCGTATGGGAGTCGGTGCCCGGTTTGAGTACCAGGTGCTCATCGCTATAGAGACCTACACAACAACAAAACAATTCATTAAAACATTTAACACTAGACTACAACCCGTGTGGGGACAATTAGACACCTACCCTCCACTTTAGCCGTACCGCCCAACACGGCCTGACTCAGGCTAATGGTGGCGTCTGTGTGCACATCCCAGCCCTGGCGCCGAAAATAGGCGCTGGACTGTACGTGAAAAGTGATGAACAGCTCCTGGCCCTCCACATCCACGCGCATCGTTTGCATGTCCTGCACGGCGGGCGGCACCGGCACCAGTAGCCGCCGGCGGCCCAACACCTGACCAATGCCGGCGCAATTCGTACACTTGTAGTAGATGTATACGCCCGAGCCTTTGCACACCCGGCACGTCGTGCGTATGGGCACCACCTGGTCGTGGATGGTCTCCATACCGATGCCGTCGCAGAAGGGACACGTCTGACCCTTCCGGCCCGGGTCTACCCTAAGTAACCATAGAAACAACAAAATATAACAATTAAAAACAATGAACCTAGCGCAAATAAATTAAACCACACAATACACAAATATTTTGCCCAATAATTACTGTTATATTCATTGATTTCAACATAAATTGCATTCAATTCTCTCAATGTTTTTATAACAAAATTATTGTTTAAATGTTTTGTATTTTTTATTATTTGATTTTTAATTTTATTATTAATTAAATTTATTATTTGTTTTAAATAATAAGTTATAATAATGTAGTAAACGGTTTGATAATAGATGAAGTTTAAAGTAATATATGCACAATATGTGAGTAAAATTGAATGTGGTATTGCAAACAAAATGATATTGGTTAGATTAGTTTTAAAAGATAGAATAAACAATGAATACAACAAACAAATTATTGTAATTATTTGAATTAAAAATTTACTAGATCTAAATAATATACGCGTAATATTAATTAATTTATATACCAATTGTTTATTATTAATTCCCAACCTTTTTGGTGCAATACAACCGCATATCATACGAAATACAGGCAAATACACGGGTTTTATACCATAAATATAGTTATAATAATTCATTAATTGACACAATATTGAAAATAAAGTCCATAAAAAACAAATCATGTTATTTAAATAGCCGGTATTTGCAAAATAATCTAGATCACCCAAATATACGTGATACACACCTGGTATATTATAATTATTTTTATTTATTAATGCTCCTGATCCAAATAGAAACAATTTGATTAGTAATACAATTGAAACCATGATTGGATGATTGAGTTTAGGTCTGTTTGTGAATGAATTGTCTGGAAATAGTGATAACCCAATTCGGTAGAGATGACTGTCCGCACCCTTCACTCGCCATTTACGCGGAATGGGTTTACCATAATCAAACTTCTTGAATGATGATACGTGCATAATTGATACTTGATTTAAATAATTTTCTTTGTATTGTTTAAGAATTATTAAAGAATTGTAAATTAATACATTAAAAGTACAATTAAAATATTCAAATTTTCACGGAAATATTCATGTCACTTGGTCAACACCAAGTTTTATATCTATTATTTACTTGTTTATTCTCAATATTTATCTGTTTTATAATACAAATTATATATTATAAACATGCAAATTTTTGCATTTGTCTATACATCATTTGTATTTATACTAATGGTAATGATAATTTAAATTACATTAATGTAATTAGCTATACATTATAAGTTGTAATTGCATTTCAAATCGTAAAAACGATTAATTATTTTTTATTATTCACCATTAGTACAATAATTACTAATTTAAGCCAATTAGCAATAATCACTCTAGTTTAAGCCTGGCCAATCTTTTTTAGAATATCACAGATACAGATTCACAGTGTGCCATAAAAAGGTGGCGCAACGGTCAATAAAAAGTTTAGGTTTGTCAGTATTAAACAAGAAACACCACGTGTAGGTCAACTTAATAGCTTCTCACTTATTTTTATAGTGGGTGGCTTTCAGTCTATTCATAAAATGTCATTTAAAACCAAATTTAATTATTAAATACACATTTTAATGAGATTTCTGATATTGTTTGCAATTATCAATAATTTTATTAACATTTGACGTCCAACTATTATTTAATAATACCTATGTGTTTAATATATGCATTCATTTGAATAATTAATAATTCTTAATTTAATCATTAAAATATAATTTTAATATTGAGATGACATTTGGCTTTACTACTCCAACTTACTAATAGTAAGTACATTGGCCAGCAATACTCTAGTTAGTTGTAAAATATAAATATTTGTGGTATTTTTGAGTATGATACTAATTATTATTTGATATTACAATACATTGATTATGGTGAAAACTTCAATAATTATACATAAGTTATATAAAAATATTTTTGCAAAAGTTTGCAGTCGGATATATATATTAGTACAGCAAATAAAATAATAATAAATATTGTAATAATTACATTTTAAATTTAATCCCATTATATCATGCAATGGCAACGTTTATATTTAATATTTAAATTTAATAATAATTGTACCGGAAAATCGTATAAATGTAAAGGCTATACATGGCTATAATATCAGAGTATAAAAATCAAGTTAAATGAAAATCAACAATCAAATATTGACTTTTCAATATTAATAATAATATTTTAATTATTTATAGATATTAATGAGTTATATTAAATTTTACAGTTTATAAAAACTTACGCGAGAAAGAGAGAGAGAGATAGAAAAAGAGCGTGAGTGAGAGAGATATTAAAACTATACTATTGTTTGAATAATGAAATCAAGAGTAGATTGAAATTATAATTAAAATTGATTTAGTTCTCAATTATTACCATTTAAGTTATATTTTGAATCTGTATTTATTAATCAATAAAATGGTGGAATTATTTTGTCTGTAACTTTTGTGGTTCCGAAGTAATCCTCACCCGAAGTGGTCAACCCTCGGAAACCCTTTGGCAACGTTATTCAATGGAAGTCACGAAATGTGATAAATAAATGTTGTAAAGTATTTATAATTGTTACATTATTTGAAATTATTTTTATATTACAGTTATTTTCTTTATGAAATCTAAATAATTTGATACATTTTAAGACAAAAGTATCGAATTTTTAATTTCCTGTAGTGTGAATATGCCAAAGGGTTTCCGAGGGTTGACCTCTTCGGGTGAGGAGTACTTCGGAATTACAAAAGTTACAGACAAAACAATTCCACCATTTTATTGATTAATAAATGCAGATTCAAAATATAACTTAAATGGTAATAATTGAGAACTAAATCAATTTTAATTATAATTTCAATCTACTCTTGATTTCATTATCCAAACAATAGATCGATAGCATTCAAGTTTTGTGACCCAATGAACATTTAATGTCAATAACATTTACTAATTTTATAAACATGTAATTTATCAAGTATTTTAATTTAATAAATACTCTATGTTAAATTGTCAAGATAAACTCACATCCAACTTATAATGTTAGTAATATTTTCTGTTTATTTACAAAGTTCAATTATATAAATACTGACATCGTTTTTATTTCGTATGAATTTAATTAAAATATATAAACATTTTAAAATAAAATAAATTGTATAATTTTATTATTTCTTCAATAAATGCACACAAATATAACAAACAATGAAATAAAATGTAAAATTAATGGCAAATGGTTAAAATTAATCACTACAGCATTTAATCATCAAGCTCATTTTCATCATCACTATCAGCATCGGTAATCCCATCCATAGTAGTAACCTCTGAAATCTCGGCGCTATTACTACTTGTGTTATAATTATCGCAATAATCAAAATGACCCACATTTAGGTCCCAAATGGACACCTCTTCCAGACTAGACTCCGGACCGTCACCTCTGGTCACTTCGCAGGGTATAACCAAATTGCCAAACGGTCCGCACCTGACCCGCGACCTCCAATGCCGGGGCCCGTCGTATAGCCACCGCATACGGCAGTCGCACGCCATGGGAAAAGCGCAACCCATGTCTAACTCGTTGCCCTCCCGGTCCACGAATGGCGAGAATACCGGCTCCGGGAGGTATTGGAGGTCCCGATTGCAGCCCACGAACGGTTGCCCTAACTCTAGTCGTATCGGCCGCTGAGTGCCGGCCAGCGATCCGGTGTCCAGCGATTGCGCGTGCAGTTGATTGCGCGCCAGACGTATGGTTAACCGCTGGGCGTTAGGGTAACGGTTGGCGAACGCGTATTTGTCTATGCGTGTGATCATGTTGTTTTGTAGGTTAATTACCTGGTTAATAAGAATAATTATGTTAATAAATGAAATAAAATTATTGTTGTATTAATAAGATAATAATTAATATAATAGGAATTAGAAGTTTAATAAATGTGATTAAAAATATTATCACTCAATATTACCCATAAAAATATTACCACGTTTTAGTTTACTGATACATCATAATATATATATTTATGTACAGTTTTAATAATATAATAATAAGCAAAAGCACAATAAATACATATTTCAATAATTTACCAAGTGAAGTTTTAATATTGTAATATTAAGTTAATTATCATTATAACTAAAAATAAATAAATAAATAACAATAAAATTAATAAAACTTATGAAGTTGGCGTACATAAGTTGACCCAAATGTGTTATCATATTACAAGTATTTAATAAATATACTATGGATGCATTTAAGTTGCAGTTTTTATACATTTATAATTTAATTAATTAATTATAGTTAAAGTATTATTAATACTGTATTAATAATTATCCAAATAATTTAAAATAAAATTAAATATACATGTATAAGGTTAAAAGTATTAATAAAACTTAATGTTGAATTATACGTATCAGTTCCAAATATAATATTGCAATAAAAAGTTTTATGACATAACAGTATTGTATATTTTAATTACAGTTTATATATAATTCTTATTGACAATAGTTGTCTAGTTAATTATTTAATATAATAATTTTGAAGTTAATTGACTTTTAAACTAAAAATCAGTTTGAACGTAAAAAGGTAAAATTAAAATGCATATATACTTATTTAGTTGTCGGTAGCTGATCGGCCAAATATATTATTATTAAAAGTAGTTATTAAAATCATTAAAATATAATACATCTTAGTTACAGTTTTCATTTAACTACAATTATCAATATAAAGCATCAATAATTAATATTGATGCATTATCGGTGCATATCGGTGCATTAAATTAATTATTCAATTAATTTATAATTAAAATAAATAAATATAATTAAAATAAATAAATATAATTAAAAATAATAAATTTTAAAAAATTAAAGTCAACATTCGATGCGTGTTTAGCACAAAAATATAATTATAATACACGTATTTATTACATTATAATTTTTAATATTGTAATCACAGTTTAGCTATACTTTTCATTAAATTAGAGCAAAAAATAATACTATTTTATAATTTAGAAAAATAAAATAATTACATTGTGGATTGATTATGTCTAATTATTTTAATAGTCTTATAACGCACCAAATTAAACTAGTTTATATATAATAGAATGTAATTATAAGTTTAATACTTAATTATTATATCTTAATTACAGTGCAAGCTAAAATATAAGGTAATTAAATTAAAAATTCGACCCTCTTTAGCCCAATATCTACATTAAGCTTTTAATTATTTACATGTATAAATTATGATCATTTACAAACTTACAGTTTATAAAAATAACAATGAGAGAGAGAGAGAGAG